GCCTTCGGAAACCCAGCCTGGCGGTCAGAGCTGAAGCCGCCTGGAGCCAGGGACAGGGCTGTGCCGGCCAGGACTGCAGACCAGGACCGCAGGAGGAAGGGCCACACCGTGACTCGGGCGCGGAAATGCTTCTACTAAGTAGAAATATGTTTAAAATATCCCTTTCCTGCTCTCTCTACTCATTCCTTTGCTTTTCCTGTTTCTTTTTTTAAAAAATGCTGTTGCCACCCATCAAAATGCAGTTTAAAACACATTGCCTAGGCCGGAACTTTGTCATGTATGTTTCATGGGTGAGTCTAGGAGGAGTCCATGTCAACAATGGTGATGAATGTGATGGTGATGGTGGTGGTGGTGATGGTGATGGTGATGGCAATGATGATGGTGGTGATGGCAGTGATGAAGGGATGGTGGAGGTGATGATGATGTGTGGTGACGGTGCTCATGGTGGTAGTGGTGGTGATGGTCGTGATGGTGATGATGGTAATGGTGATAGTGATGGTGGTGATGACCTTGGTGATGGTGATGGTCATGATGATGGTGGTGATGATGGTGATGATGATGGTATGGTGGAGGTGATAATGATGGGTGGGGGTGATACTGGTGATGATGGTGATGGTGATGATTGTGGTGGTGATGGTGGTGATGATGATGATGACGATGGGGGTGATGATGGTAATGGTGGTGATGATGATGGTGATGGTTTTGGTGTTGATGGCAATTATGATGGGATGGTAGAGATGATGATGATGGGTGGTGATGATGGTGGTGATGATGGTGATAGTGATAGAAGTGGTGATGGCGATGATAGTGATGGTGATGATTGTGATGGTGACCATGGTCATGGTGGTGATGGTGGTGATGGTGGTGATGATGAAGGTGGTGATGGTGGTGATAATGATGGTAGTGGTGATGGTGATGATGGTGATGGTGATGATTGTTGTGGTGACAGTGGTCACCGTGGTAGTGGTGGTGATGATGATGGTGATAATGATGGTGATGGAGATGGTGGTGATGGTGGTGATAGTAATGGTGGTGGTGATGGTGATGGTGATGATTGTGGTGGTGACTGTGGTCATGGTGGTGATGGTGGTGATGGTGGTGATGATGAAGGTGGTGATGGTGGTGATAATGATGGTGGTGGTGATGGTGATGATGGTGATGGTGATGATGGTGATGGTGATGA